TAACCGACGATTATTAATTAAACTAAATAGACCAGCAATAGTTGGACTACTAGCAGATGTACCTAAAAAGCAACATAACAACATGTTTTTAACAGGATAATTTGGTAAGGATCAATATAAAACTTACCGTCTATTGGTATTTCAACATTTTCATTTAGTTTTACAATATAATTATGTGCCAATAAACTAATATCAGGATAAGCTCTATTCGACTGATTATAATAGGATGTTGGTGGTAACACTTTACTACGTTTAAAATATTGCTGAACGGTTTTACGTTGATATTTTGGCATTTCACTGAACGATGAAAATCCACCACCTGATGTCACTCGGCAACCAGTTAATAATGAACGATATGCAGCAATTTCCTGTAAACAAATATTTGGTTCCTCTGGAATATATCGACAATGACTATCACTACGAATTAATTGTGTACCACCCACCGATGTAACATATGGTGACGCAGCTGGATAACTGGGTACGAAATGTTTACGACAAATATTAGGCTTTATGCAAATAAGACGTATATATATACAATTCTTTTCTTGTTTTTCCTCGTTTTATATACTCTTCCAGTCCTCGTAACGGTAGACTATTATGTCAAAGTTCAAGTGCAAAGTCGGCTCAAAGTAGCACTGGTATGTTATAGAGGATAGTCAATAATGTATAAAAGTGCATTTTTTCATCTTCGTTTCACGCTCACTTTTAGAGGAAAAGGTTTCTAAACAGATAGTTCCTTGAACCGTAAAAGAACAGCGCACCGATGTGTTTTCTCATTTTTATTCGGAGCGATAGTTAGTTGTTTCTTCGTTCTATTTGTATCTCCGGTGGAAAGTAAAACAGATAAACTTATTTCTCACGTAAAAGATATTAATTTCTGTGCTCAGGTGACTGAGTCATCTGAATTTGTAAACGTGGTATTTTGAACACGTGATTCAGCCACGAAATTTCTCCGCAGTTTTATTTTTGTCACACTTGTAATCTTTGAAGAAGGTCAAGTCACCTTTCTAAAACAGTTTTTCGCGCTCTATCTAATGCACGAATTTGTTTTGACTCAAATATTTTTTGTTAAAATAAAGCAGCGTGGCGGAATCACACACCATCGACCAAGTTTATTTTTACGAAAAACCGAAATTCTTTCTTTTCTC